CAATAACAGTTAACAGCCTGAGGTGAGGCAAGCAAATCTAGCTATACACTTCAGCTTCACAGAGCAGAGCAGCCCAGACATGTTTTTAAATGGACACACCTAATAATACAGAGATCAGTGCGCTTGAAACACTTCTACTTTAATCAGCCCTGAATTGAGTCTGATCTGAATGGCAAATCACACTCCCTGAGGAGTGTTTCAATATATGCACTTATACACTACAACCACCAGGTGGCAATCTGATCCTCCACCTTCTTGTGTGCAACTGTCCTCTGATGTGGGAGAGAGGTGCTGAGACAGACTGCTAAAGCTGCAATGTGATTTAGATTCTCAGATTCTGTGATTTAGATGGGTTGCAGGTCTAATATGAGAGTCATAGATAGCAGAGTCACAGACTACGGGGAGATACAATGCTAAATGCATAAAATATATAATAAAACTAAATGCATAATTGTGTAAATTAAACAGGTTTAACTTTTTAAAGGCTTTCCACATCTTTTGTTATTGATATGAAGGCTGTGCTCAATCAAACGTCACAGTGTTTTGGCACAAAAAGCAAATTAGCTAGTTAACATGGACAAGTTGCATAACAAGACCTCATCCTCAAAAACAATGAACAAAACTACAAAAATAAAAGAAAATGAGCTAGACTACATTAAATATACAAATTTATCATAGTGCAGAGGATAGACATGGTTTGTTCTGACCACAATTTTGTTTTTGTGCAGTAAATCACCGCCTGTCATGAAACCATCAATATTCAAGACACATTTAGAAACCCAAATTCAAATTTTTTTCCTATTTAGCTTATGTCACGGTTAATAAATTTGCATATCGTTGGGCCTATCTTAGTCCTATCTTTATTATCGACACTTTTGATACTGCACTGGGTCCACAGTGAAATCTGGTCCAGAAGCAAAACCAGTTAAGAACCACTGATTTAGATTACATCCTGGTCTATTCATCAGAGCTTTTGTGGGCTGCTGACAAGATTTCAGGTTGTCTAATGGTGGCTGGAAGAGATGCAAAAGTGAGACAGAAGACTATAGATATGACTAAAATAATGAGCTCTGTAATCCATCACAAAATTGCCTGGATCTCCAAGGTAAGCCTAAACTCATTGGAGAACCAATTCAGCAGTGCAGCGCAGCCTAAGGCAGCTCACTTCCAGCTCACACACTAAGGAAACATGCTGGAACGCTTCCTCAGCTCTGGCCAAGAGGTCACGATACATCACAGGAGTGAGCCAAACCACAAAAAGCAATTGTTCTTTCTTACTGTCTGCCTGTGTCCATTTGTCTCAAGCTAACTGCCTACTTTGCTGTCATATTTTAGTCTTATCTCTGCTTATGTCTGCCTCGTGTCATCTTTGTCTAACTTTTCTTGTCCTCCTATTACCCCAGTCATTTTATTTAGAAAGAAAGTCAGTTACCTGCGGAATGTGGGGGATGCAATGTCTGGGTATTTGGAGCCTGGCTGTCTGAGTCCAGTTTGGGTGGAAGTGACACTGGATTTGGGGGAGGTGGACAACCCTGTTCCCTCCTGATCCGACCCTGCCACTTTCTCCTTATCCGTCTGGTTGATGGTGACTGGACTTGAGCGTCCTGATCCTACTTTCCCAGGGTCTCTTCTCTTTGTGCTGGTTGGGGTTCCTACCACTCCTCCACTCCCTCCCGCAGACTTTCCGCTGACATTCGAATCAATGCTGCTAGAGCTAGAACGATGGCCGCTCCGGCCCACCACGCTGCTTCCCCCACTTGATGACTTTGCCGGTCTAGGTAGGGAGCGATACTGGAGTGGAACCTTTGAGCCTCCACAACCTAACAAAACAGTGTCGTCCTGGTGTTGAGCACCATCAAGACTTGTTTTCTGCCCATTACCGATTCCTGTGCCCTTCCCGATGCCTGCAGATTTGGGTACCTTGCCTAGAGTAGCGGAACCACTGGCCAGAGTGGCTCCGCTGGCAGTGATGAGGGCTCCGGCGGGACCCGGAATCTTCTTAAAGCCAAAAGAGCTTGTGGTAGGCGGTCGACCAATTCCTGAGGGTGGCTTCTTCCCTTCATCTCCGCTACTCTTGCCCGCATCTGATGGTGAGCGCTGGATACTTGGGCTCTTAGATGGGGCCTTGCCTTTCTCAGATGCCTTGGCATCATCCGTTTTACCTGTCAGCACAAAGATGTTTGTTATGGCACTGGTACCTCCTGCTTAATCATGGCCAGTTTTTTCAAATTTTTTACAAATAATTTTACAACCCAATCAATCATCACCAATACAATACAAAGCCCCTCTGCCAAACACTGCTGTGTTCTAGCCAATGGCACTTTTTTTTCAACTCAGCAAACAGCACAGTTAAGGTACTCTCGGACAAAATTACTTGTTCCTGCTGAGTATCCAAAAAAAAAAAAAAAACAGTAGCTAGACAGAGCTTCGGTTGCAAAAGTTGGCTGAGATAAAGAAAAAGTCAAACACTCAACAGTCCCTTAAAGTTACCAAAAAGCCTCTTCTCTTTTGATTTCACCTTCTCTGTGAAGCTACAGTAAGCAATTTTCTGGAATACCACGCATAAAAGGCCCCCTACTGACAGATATCACTGAAATTGTGCAGCCTTTGGTTTTGTAACCAGCTAAAAGGAATCCTTTTCTTTCATGCTTCCTTGCAGAAATTGCAGATTCCATTCTAAAAGTTCTTTAGAGAACTGACATTTTGAAAGGGTACCTATAGGTTTTCTAAAGGGCCAATGTGTCACTCTGAGGAACTACTGCTTCAAGTATCTTTTTATTTTTTACAACACACAACTGTATTAGAGTTTGATACCTGGTGTTTTGAGAGAGGTGGACGTGCCTTTGGTCCGTGGTGGTGTGATGCCAACCTGGGCACTCATGCCCCTCCTCCAGGAGCCTGTTTGAGACATGGACAAACCTGTCTTCTGGCCAACATCCTCACCCTGACATGAGGAGGAAGGGGATGAAGTCTTCCACTTGTCCATCCCTGGCTCCATCTCTTCATCAACCTTCTTCAGATCCTCAGCACCAGCCCAGCTGCTAGCATCCTGCTCGGTATGTCTGTGTGTATCTTTATTTGACTGTGAATCACACAGACACACAGAATAAAGCTCTCTCACACACACACACATACAGAAATCTCACTTTGGCAATCCATCTGACATATGGCCAAACTTTTCTTACTAGCCAAAGCAAAAAGAGGTGGACGTGCCTTTGGTCCGTGGTGGTGTGATGCCAACCTGGGCACTCATGCCCCTCCTCCAGGAGCCTGTTTGAGACATGGACAAACCTGTCTTCTGGCCAACATCCTCACCCTGACATGAAGAGGAAGGGGATGAAGTCTTCCACTTGTCCATCCCTGGCTCCATCTCTTCATCAACCTTCTTCAGATCCTCAGCACCAGCCCAGCTGCTAGCATCCTGCTCGGTATGTCTGTGTGTATCTTTATTTGACTGTGAACAACACAGACACACAGAATAAAGCTCTCACACACACACACATACAGAAATCTCACTTTGGCAATCCATCTGACATATGGCCAAACTTTTCTTACTAGCCAAAGCAAAATGTCCAAAACTCTCAGTCTGTTCAATCTGCTGTGGCCTACTGACAGATTGCTGATACAAAGCTAATTATAAAAATGAGGAGAAAACATACATAAGACTAGAGTGTATGCACACCTGTGCTGCTTTGCTTTTGCGAGATGAGATGCCAGAATACGTGGGTGGATTCAGATCGTCAGTGCCGATGTTATCTAAAGTATCACTCAAACCACTGCTGACTGAACTACTGTCATCCCAGCTGTAAAGACAAAAAGAGAAAAGTGTTAAAAAATAAAACCTTATAAGCAGAAACAAAAACAGCCAAAATTATTCTTCTTATTCACATCCCAAAAGTATCACTTAACTCATACTTAATGTAAGCTGATAGACCAACATACAATCATGACCATGATTGTCAAATCATTCAGCATTATTGCTTTTACTGTGCAAAGAAAAATTACTCATTATTATCATGCCTGGTTAAAAAATAGTGTATCACTAATGCACCTTTTCTGTTAGGACATTATTTGTCTGATTTATGAGCATTGTCCCATTCATGCCTTGTTTGGTTTTTTAAGGTTTTATCTTCTGGAAACCCACAAGGGTTGTCTTTCATTAGAACTTTCCAAACATTCATCACAAGGACCAGGACTGAAAATATGATTCCAATGCACGTTCATTCATATTTCAAAGCCCGCTATTGTTGACTCACTGTCACCATCTTATTCATATTCATTTGCTTAATTAGTCCACTCTGCGGCTTTGCCACTTCAATTCTCATTAACTGTTGACAATATTTTTTTCTTTTCCCCAGGCTTTACGTTCTCATTCCTCTTCATTTACCAGACCGTGTCTAATTAATGAAGGATATTAAACAGTAGCTTTGACACTCTCGACTTTGCTGACCCAGTTGAAAATCCTAGAGGAAAGCTGGGTGTGAATGCATATGAAGTTATTACTACTGCCAAAGTGGAATTGAGCAGACTTGCGTAACATGGCCCAGTCAATTGCAAACTCATTTTCTGTCTATTACACCAGATAAATCATATGCTGTTGTTTATCGCCTACTGTCTTTCTCTCGTGTTGCTAAGAGAACTCTGTTTGATCATGTGTGTGCACACATATGTCCTCAAATTTAATGAATCTGATCAGAGATATTGTGTTCAATTCTTTGATGACTAGTGGCGGTTTGCTGCCCGGCTCTACAGACAAAATTGATAGCTATACCGACATGAAATCCATTTAGACAAGACAAAGAGAAACATCCTGGCATTTACTGACATCTTCTGACATAAAAAGAGATCTCTGAAATATTCAAACCTCAGTATCTACAGTTCAATATGTCAGTATCTACAGTTCAATTATTCATATCGATTCTAGGATTCTGAGTAATGCTTACAGAACAATGTTGGCATTGAAAATTCAATATATTTACATCTACCCAGGAGACGTGCCTGTCCAGGATGTTTCGTCGTCTTCTTGAAATGTTTGATGAGCTAGTAAAGATTCTCTCAACTTTTATAATATATGCAGGACAAGAGCGAGAAGGAAAGAAAAGTTTGAAAGGCTGAAAGCGACTGGATAATAATTGTGAGAGACCCCGCAGGGCTCTTAACACCAGCGTGTGGGTGTTTCTGAAGATTCCAGCATTAGAAAGAGGCTCGGTGGGTGCGAGTATGTGCGCAATCACTCTAAAAATATCATTATTGATTTTTCAACATCCTTGTTTCTCCCTTATTTAACTCCAGGAGCACTTGACACATTTAGCTTGAGATCTGATACTGTTATACAATCATGTAAATGAAAGATTAGAGATGGCAAACTTTAAAGGCTATTATACAACAGACCGGTTTCTTAAATCTGATTAGATGGACATTTGAAGCCAATGTAACAAAGCTGATATATGATTACATCTGACTGCACAAATTCTATACTAATGCAACAAGCTGCTACAAAACATTAAACAGTCTACAGTTAGATAAATTAACTATATTACTTGTGATCCTCCCAGTCAATTGGGATTTCAAGCATAAGATGCATTAAAAACTGATAACATCAACAATGGCTGTGCCTAAAACTTGTGTCTAAACTATGCATTAGTTGGAACTTTTCAAGAGTGAAATGACTTCAGTATCTAGTGGCTTGACACACATTAGCAGCAAATGCTTTAACACCTGGGTAGAGTTATTGACTTGTTGGTGGAGTTCAGATGAACGTTAAATCAAGCTTAATACTGCAAGTTTAAGTGCAAGTGTTGCAACTGAGCACCCACACAAATCAATAACCACCAAAGCTCCAATCCAGTTGACAATTTCCTAATATGCACTCTGCTGAAACCTTACCCTGCCTGAGAGCTTTCTAGGGGTTTCTGCCTTTTCTGCATTTGCCCTCCCACAATGTAACAGTAAACATCTAAAACTGTGGTACTCAAGCTTAGGTGGGCATCCTTTGCCAGCAGGACAAGTTTTGGCAAGGGCACACTGGTTAAGGTCACCTTGACAGTCTTGTTTCCACACACCCTTGTCCCCGCTGAGTGAGCCCACTGCTTTGAGAGAATGACATCAGCAGGAACAGAGCACAGTCACTGTTATGCAGCCAGAATGGTGACTAAAGCTCTACTTTAAAACTAGACTTCACAGGAAGCTGCAAGTAGGAAACAGATTGTCTAATTTTGGGTGTTCATTTTAAAAATGTCTTTTTGGGTTTGACTGTTTCATATTATTTCATAATATATACATTTTTGACTAAAACTAATGCTTAGGGCCATGGGCAGCATTTCAAATATATATATATTCCTGGTAATTGACCATGAGAAATGAACTGTGACAAATGTTATATATCGAAGCACATTGTCAATGATGGCAAAATGAGCTGAAAATGAGTTCACTTTAGTGCAGTTTAAGATAACATTACATGGCTTTCCATAAAGCACATGACTAGGATTTGAACAATTTGACTGTTTAAAAGCATTACCATTTTTTTTTTACACGTAGCAATTGCTGCCTTCTTATGCTAATTCAGGTAAATATAATTGTCTGTTCTCCTGAACACATGGAAATTAATCGAAATATCAATCAATCAATCAATCAATCAATCAATCAATCAATCAATGTTTTAATGAAGCAAGTGAATAATTACCTCAGCATTTGGCTTCTTAGACTAAAATTTGTAACAGATAATTCAGCAGAACAGTCTCTGGGTGACTGTCAGTGAATGTCTAGGGAGGAATATTATTTTTGAGAAATGTGATGCCCTACAGACAGCGGCGAATCCTGGAATAGGCAATATATGATAAGCAGTCTGTTAGGGTGGCAACATTCTCTGAGATGGCAGGAAGCGCCGCCTCCACATACAGTGAGACAAACAGTCCACTTTTGAGTTATCCACTGCCGTTTTACAGGAACATGAATGCTGTCTGTTCCAATTAGGGATATGCCGGTATCAAATTTTCATGTTGCGATTAATTGCTAATGCTTTTATCACGGTATGCGGTATTATCACGATGTTGAAATTTAATGCATAACATTGCCCATGAAAAAATGCTAAAATGCTATGCTTTATATGCTAAAAGCCAACACAGATCAAGTTAATACAATCTGAGCACTAAGCTGTGGAAGAAGCAGCTGACTACCACAATCTGGTATGCTTTACTGGGACTGTACAACATGATTTCACTGTGATTCAGTATAGTTTTATAAACAACAGTCAGATCTAATGCTGCTAGCGAGATAAAGACCCTAGAGAGCTGCCCTAGAAGCTTGCCTATATGAGCTGAATATTTTATTCTTTCATGTGCTGCTGTATCTGTGACGGGACTGACAGTCGTACCAGGGTGACATGCAGTCTCTGGACTATGTCCTTAGACACCGGTCCATTCATGACAGCAATTCCAGCCTGAGAAAACACACTCAAACTGCCTGCAATGTTTGCCTCCACTTGTGTCTTATTGAAAGAGATGTCTTTTCTAGTTATAACCCATCTATAATTCACATCAGCCAAGTTGCTACATAAAATGTGTTTCTGACTGTTTTTGACTCAAGCACCTGTGTTTGGTTGGATGAATATTTTCCACAGATTGTTGTTTTTTTTATTTAAATGCCTCACAGTATGAGTGTTGGCATTCACTTTACTTTCATTGAGTGTTCGGTGCAAATGTCCATTCAAGCGCGCAGTAATATTCTCATGCAATATTCAGTGATGAAAAAACCATGCAACAATAACACTCAATAAAACAAAATTTGCATCCTACGTGGATCAAAACAAATCAATTTCTCGATCACTAGCTGGGTCCATTGGTCTGTTAAATATGTTGCATGCTGTGGCTTAATTATGGCAAAGCAACATATTTCAGAGGAAATTAACCATCATGTATCTGTATGTTTGCATTACAATCCTGTACCTATATATATATATATATATAAAGAACAAATGCTGTCTTTTAAGTGTATGCAGCCATCAGCCAGTCATTTCCACTTCTATAAATCAAACATTACCCTTAAACAAGAAATGCAACAATTCAAAGATTACCATAAGAAGTCTTCAGGGCATGACGCCATGTTAACTATTTTTAATTCTTCATGATGCCATGTTAATTAATTTCAAAGAAACTCATTTACAGAAACTATGTCTGCTATCCAATGATCCACAAAGGGAACATTTACAACATTTAGCAGTCTTCCGATGACACTGATATAACGACACACTGAAAGGTTTTTCAAATGTACAACATAAAGAATAATCCAATTTAACAGAGTAAATCTTGTCAACATACATAAAAAATGAAAACAAAGTACTTTGTACTAACCTGAAGTTAATATCTAGAGCTTTAGCTGTACATTAAACCAAATGGTGACAGGTATGTTAGAGTCACCAACATACCAAAGTATGTCTCAAAACCAGTGACCACTATTGAGTGAGGCGAAAGGGTGAACACTAACTCACCGCCCTGCGATTGATGCTGTCTGGCTGTCTGCAAGCTGCCCATGTCATGCTGTAGCTCCAGGGGAGGAGAAATCAAGAGAAGAAAAGCAAAGGAGAGGGAAAAAAGGAGGGGAAGAAGATAGAGGAAGAATGCAACCCACCTGCTTGGTTGCGAAACACGGGCTGGAGGGAAGAGAGCAACATCTCGCCACTTCTTACAGCTCCACCCCACCCCCCACACCTCACCCCTCCCCTGGGCCCATCATGCACTCTGAGAAATGCTTCAGACATCCTCAACCAACTGGGGTGTTGCCAGAAGAGACAGACTCCAATCAAAGT